TAAATTGTATGATGCATCATGGTTTTTTTGTGGAAATTTACTTTTGGGAAGTGTCTGGGTGGCTCATCGAAGTCCAACCACAGTTGGTTACGAAAAAGCAAAGAACAGACCTCGAAATATGACAATTTTTGACCTTTTCAATACGTTTCAAATCACCAAAAACCGCATGTGAGCCCACACCCAGTTTTTCCGCTATCTCACGCACCGTTTGTGATGACATTGAAACGGAGAAAACTTTTGAAACAACCTCATATATATGTAGAATTTAGTGCTTAGGAAAATACTTGGGAGAACTGTTGTTTGCTAAAGCTCTGCGGACTCTTGTATTGTTTTCATATCTTCTTCATTAGTTCCTTCCATAATTATATAGACAAGTCACCAACTGCATGATGGATCTCTCCTAGAAGATGAAATGAATTAATCAAGCGAAGTATGCCATCCATCTCAGCGACTATAACAGGTGACAGCCTACTTTCCATTCTCTTTGCGGTCTCCCCGCACCGGGAATATTAATATATTCACGAAATTATATCCCCCGGAGTAGTTCGACTCTCATCTCAAAAATTAGGGCGGAGATAATTTTCCCATTCGTTCGGGCCGAGATTGGGATGGTTTAAATTAAATGTCAAACTTTGTTCACTTGTTTTGTTCGAGAAAGTTTCTCTGGCATTATTGTGAACTTGCGGGTATTGTAGTATCGGAGTGGTTACACTCTAAAATGTGTAATTCGTTCCAGAGTTGGTTTTTGTACGTCTGGAAATTTTCGAGTTTGCTGCGTCAACTTTCAGTGAGTGAGTAGTTGAAAGGAATTGCTATAGAAACCTGCAATTGACAACAACTAGAACAGTTTTAACGAAGTTGTTGGTGCAATTCTATCGAAAGAAAACTTCTTGCGATACATTTTCGAATGAAAACGTTTTAGCTCCCTACTTCTTCATCAATATAGAGTGCACTTCATACTTTGGTTACTTTCAAGGTTTTGCTGCGAACTTCTTTGGTTAAAACCTCAAAACGTTTCAACTACAACTGCGACAGTCATCTTCAGTGCTGTGTTCGAAGTACTCTTCTTGACGTATCAACGAAACTTTTAGTTTCAGTTGATTACGCAAAACCCGGAACCAACCAAACGCCGGGAAAGCCTACATTTCAGTTTGAATAAGTCATTTGATGATGAGACTGCAAAGAAACGTGAACTATAGTTTCATGAGAATGAATTTGTGTGAAAATCATCTCATTGTTAGCAACCCCTTCCCCAGCATCATATCAAAAATTTCGAATAAAAGTAATAGTCAACTATGGTGGCAATGATAAGTAATTTCAGAGATAAATTGAATACTGTTTCAATTTTGCGTTAGGATTATAATAGTGATCTGCTAGATTGAAGTATTCATCTATGTCGAACCGTCTTAAGAGTTTGGTGCTTCCATGTCATGTTTGAAGATCAGCAGTGTTACTATTAGATTGACTGGTGCCTCAGCTATACTTGTTGTTTCATAATACTCAGTAAGTTTGGCGTATATTTGGCAATACAGTTGATCATCACCCGTTGGAAGTTATATTTTCAGATGATTCAATAACAAGGTTTGCACGGACAGTCATATTAGGATACGCTAGTTGAGGTTCTAGAATGTCCCATACGTCTTTGCTACCTCTTGCACATGAACTACAAGTAAACTGGTGAGGATTTTTCCAGCAAAAGATCTACAAACACAAGACGAGATAGACTGTACGGAATCATTCAATCCAGAGCGGTCAGGAGTATTGATTCTGCTATTTTTCTGCTTATGAAAAGTATTCAACAAGAACCCCAAGAATTCGGGACAATCCTCTTGTTGTCTTAACGAGTATCTAGTGGACTTCAAAGACTCTAGGAAATCGGTTGGTGACATTCTTACGAAACTGCAGCTGCGTGAACAGTAAATGCTATTCATGTAAAAAGTGTTTCCGAAAAAATACCTCATCCAATTTTCTTCGCAAGATTTTAAGGACAACTGTCTACTGATTCGTAAGGAAGAACATGTTCCACAGAATCTGCATCAGAACCATTTCTCAAGCTGCAATCGATCCTTCCAAGTGAAGAAGGGTTTCGGCTCTTGCTACTCGAAACTCTTCCACTGAAAGGGAACCAAAACCACAAGGACTGCAACTTATATCTGGGGGGCAAGAATTACCAATGTCCATTGGTCTGAAAAAGAAGAAAGTGGATCAATCACTTGCTAATTAACATTGATAGGAGACTGATTGACATACACATATCTCGACTTGTTTTGAAGAGATTTTAGTTCCGTACTAAAATAAGGGCGTTGCATTATCTCATCAAAGTTATGTTAGTTCATAGGACCGAAGCAGCATTACCATGTTGAATAGCAGTACTAAGTCTTCCTAGCAAAAAAGAGGTAGAACGGTAATCTTTCATTGCTTGGCCTAATCTCCTTATTCCGAGTTCATGAACGAATAACCGAGACTCCGGGCCGTAAACACCAAAACTTTCAACCGCTACTGGAAGGAACAGATAGTTGTTACCAAGATTATGGTATTTTTTTGTTTCAATTTTTCGCCAGACAATGTTGCAGTTCCAGCAGACTTCGAACTTTCGGTAAGCCGCAACCGTGTCAACGCAAATGGTCAAAGACGAAACGGACTGGTTCAAGTTTGACGATAGCCGTGTAACTAAATATTCTGGCAATATCTTGAGGTTATTGGAGTCTCTAGAGACACCCTTCATTTCATTCTATGAAAGAAAGGACATTGGCCGATCAAGATCTTCAGATGATGTGGTGCTGCAGGTTTTTCCGGGTTTTCCTGCAGCTGAAAAAGCAAATGCGCCACTGCAATCAACAAGTCGCCCCGGAGCGCCAATTATTTCTTGTATGAAATCTAGTTACAAGGACGGGCCTAGACAAGGAACTCTAGCATACATGGGGGCACACACAATAGATCTGCGAAGGTCGCAGTGTAGTGGCTATTCAGCACAGAAGCCCCATATTAATCTAATCTAATCTAATCTAATATCATTCTCACATATTCTCTCTTCAGTCCAATGTTTCACCCGGTCCACCTTCTCATTTTTCCTGCCAACTCACTCAGCCTTTTCCTCACTTCCTTGTGGTGGTCTATGAATGATAATCCCGAGTCCACCACAATTCCGAGGTACCTCACACTCGTTTTTATTTCCATGCTTCTCCCATTCATTTCTAGGACCGAGGGTCTTTCATGTTGAGTGTTCAGTGAAAATCTCACAATAAACTGTTACCTAAATACGTCGCCATTTCTATCATATACAAGGATTTAGTACACTTCCATATTTCAATATGAACATCGTTTGCGTCATCACCCAAAAAGTGGTGAGCAGGCCCCTTAGTGTTATTTCTCTCTCTCTCTCTCTCTCTCTCTCTCATATCCGTCAAATCCTGCTGCTCCCATTGTTTGCGTGTTACATAATTAGAAACGTATCCCTTGTTCGGGACACAAAACAAATTTCGCGGAATAATCATGGCAAAATGGTATACACAATTCCAGAATTGCCACTTCATTTTATGGACCTCACGAAAGCGGCATGACAATACGAAACTTTGAAGCAGGCTATTTGAATAACATACTCTCTTTGTTGTGAAACGTTGGAAATTATTATCCAAACTAGATGTCACGGACAAACAACGGATGAGTTGAGTCGATTTGGTTATTTAGAGATTTTCTGGAATCGTGTTTCCGATGAAGCGGCGCATCAATTAAGGTTTAATGTTTTGCAGCATTGATTCTTTTTTCCAGAAGAATTATGGAATTTATATTTGTGGTCGTACTCAGCCACTGGTATTTAGAACGAAATTCAGACTTATGATCCAAATTTGAAAGTTGGTTGTTCGCAGAGCAGAAGCTGAAGATATTGTACAATCCATAATCGAATATTCACACGTGGTGTGTCCGTTGAAATACACGCCTTCTGGAATGGAAATCTGCTTGTATCATTAACCAACTGTCACCCCCTAAAGACGACAACCCTCAAAAGCAGAAACCTGTGCAGACTACGGATAAACGTGTTCTTGCATTTTAACGCGAGATGACCAACATTCTTTCACGACCCAAAATAGCATAGGAACCAACTTTGTTCTGCTCATCCATTAAACCCCACTTCACGTGTTTGAATGCCTCCCTCTTGTTATCCGCCTCTGGAAACGATAACATCTTTCCTTACAAAAATGTCATCTATGTCATCGATAGAAAACTCAGTCTTCGAATATCAAAGATAAAAGACGCTCCCCCAAGGCAATCAGTTGTAAAACCAAGCTTCGACATCGACCGCCTAACAAAATTCATCATCTTTCTTCCACTTCAGCTTACACTACAAGGCATTTAGATCAACTTGTGATCCAGCACAAGACAGTCCTGTTTCGATTCAACAGGTCCCATTTATAACAATAATCAGTTGACACCTATACATGATATGTTTTCAACAATAAATATGTAGAACTCATCAAATTTATCGTTGTTTGTGACATGATTTTTCACATATCAAACATCAAATTCTCATGTTTCTTCTGCTTCTCTCCCTTCTTTTCGGTTGCAAATAATGTGTATTAATATAAGTTTTCTCTTACTGGTTGGATGGAAGAGCAATTTCTGCCTTGATTTATCATACACAGACGTTGAATTCTGCCATTTGTTAGGTTAGATTAGTATCTCTTGTACTGAGTAACGTTTCAATAGAAGCATTCATTATTATTATATCAGAAATACGCAACGGACTGTGGCTGCTAACCGTTCTGAGGTTCAACTCCGTAAACGTCGAACTTCACTGTTTAACAATTCTTTCATTTGAACAACTGCGTTTTATGTAAATAAACTTCTTGAGAACGTGAATCGCTACTTCCGCAAGGCACCTCTCTCAGAGCGCCCTTGATGATTTTCCTGTAGCGTTCATGTTTTGTCCATGCAACAAAAAAATTAGATACTCACCTGTAGCTGTTCATTTCCGATTCTTTAATAAAGACCTCTCGTTTCAGATCCGCCACCCCACCGACCCCACTCAGTGCCAGAAGTGTCCCCAAGGAACAATTCCTGACCCGCACCACGTCAATTGCAACGACATCCCGGAGGAGTTCCTTCAGCTCGACAGCGGCTGGGCCATCGGAGCCATGGCTCTCAGTTCGACTGGGGTGCTGATCACTATCTTCATCTTCGGAGTGTTCGTCAAGTACAACGAAACACCTGTGGTGAGGGCATCTGGAAGAGAACTGAGCTACGTACTGCTGAGCGGGATTCTGATGTGCTACGGGGTGACATATGCATTGGTGCTCAAGCCGAATGATATCGTTTGCGGGGTACAGAGGTGAGGTTTTGTTTTTTTTTGAGTATACAGCATGTTTCTCTTCCACCAGATCCGCATCGAAGTGAGAATATATGTGGCAATCATTGTTGAATAAATAAGTGAAAGGAGTAATACTAGCATCAACATTGTAATTTATCTGTTAATCTCTCTCTCTTCCATTGAAAATTACTCAGTATTTCTATTTCATGTCCTGTGACTCTGACACTTGGCATCGACGTGTCTCATTCAAGAATATAATTCGAACTTCTATGATTGCGCTCGTGTCCAATAAAGACTAGAGGGTTCTGCGCCAATTGTCCAGGCGAGTTCTTGAATTCACAGATGAGCCTACCGATTGACCCTATGACAGGTATTACATGCTCAGTTTGGCATCAGTTCAGTACATGACCTTGATCACGAATGAACTGATGACTAACTGATGGCCCATGATATCGTTAATCAGTAATAGATAGTAATATCATACATAGAGTAAATTCGTTCATGGGTCAATCAGTTTGTCATCAGTTCATTCGTTATCAAGGTCATGGACTGAATCAATGCCGAACTGAGCGTGTAACACCCGTCTATAGATTCATCCATCGGTATATTCGAAACGTTAGTATATTTTTATTAGATAAAGCAATCCATCAGACGAAATTTTCTGTTGAATGTAAGAACTGGCCTTCTGCGCGTGCGCTGTTTTCTTCTTAAGTTGCAGCGCATGCGCATAATTGAGCAATTTCACTTGATTTGTATTGGTGCACGCAACCTTAGCAAATTTCTGTAGCAATGCTGTAAGCTGCACGCTTTCAGTGTCATCGCATCTAACTAGAATGCAGAGTTGTCAACCGTGACAGAATTCCGCTACCGTAGCGGAATTACTTGACGGTAGCGGTATAGCGGATTTGAACATAGAGTAGCGAAATTTTCTGTAAATAATCAATATTGAAAAAAATATGAAAGAAGAAGTGGCAGTGGACAGCACTCGAAGCTGACAGGTGACAAAGGACTAGTTGAATGCACAGTCAATACGTTATAGTCTTAGTGGCTGAGGCCATTATATGATGAAAGAGAAGAAGAATATTTTTGGATATTTTCATTACTATCATGAACCATATAACCTTATATGTCTTGGAACTAAAAGTATCGACTGTCTTAGGTATGATGAATTATATGTAACAAATTACAGTGGAAATGGAAGATACTTCATCTGATTGTACCTCTAGTAGCTACCACAGTTAAAATTGACGGGAATTGAGGTCTAGATAACAAACTTTTTCTCAACATTGGTTTTCTGATTCCAACTCGAAAGGAAATATTAGACCTGTCGCGAATGATTGTTCAAGAGCTCAGTGTGATTATACGTACGTGAATTAATTGTTATTTATTTTTGCTTTTCAAAAATATTATTTCGGGCTAAGAAATATTTGGTCGAGACAACAGCTTTCAAAAGTGAACTGCTGTAAATTTAGAAAATTAGGTACCCTCTACTGAGTTGCGCGGTTGAAAATTAGCATGATTCTGATTCCTGACATTAGTGACAGTTTAGTTTTATGGTATCTGAACGGTTTACAAACTACAAAATTGTAAGTTCTGTGGTATTTAATTTCGAATTTGTCGCATGCGCGAACTGATTGCGTCAGATATACAAGCGTAGCGGAATATGAAACAGTGTACCGGGATTTTGGTTCATGTGTAGCGACTTTCAAGTTCATCCAGTTGGCAACACTGCTAGAATGTCATTGTCCACCTATAATGATCTTGTGCAAAGCTAATTCATAGCTAAATATCCACAAACTCCATTATATTAGGAACTCCAGAATTATCTTATCCTAATATCATCCATCGACGCCAACGCGATATTTTCCGATTATACCAAAGTTACATCCGGTTTCCTCGACGGAACGCGACCATAACTCTCCCGAATCGATGTCACAAATCTACCACTAACCGACGATGTTATATCAAAGGGCGGCCACTTAAATTAAGCGGCTCAGGTTCATGAGTTTATATTGTGAACACGCCTCTGTAAACAAGTCCCCACGTAGTTGACATCGCGAGTGAGTTAATGTCAACAAGAATCCAATCGAGTGATGAAGTGTATCAGAAATATTTTCGTAGAATGTTACACGTTGAGGATGGTTCGTAAATAGACGTGAGGTTTGTTCTAGTTCTAGGACATCAGGATCATGCGCAGTTGATATAGAGCGTTCTGGTTTATTGAGGATAAATGAATCGGAGGTTTTCTGTGTTAAAGTGTATAATTTTTAAAATTCTTGCAAAGCGCTTTCGACTTTCGTCATCATCATTAAGGAAATTTTTATTATCTATTTTATGTAATATTTTGGAATTTCTATTGGGACTAAAGTTGTCATTGTGAAATTTTATGTGGTGGCCAAAAGCAGATTTGTTTAGTTTGTTCATTAATACGAGTAAAAAGAGGTCTACAGGTTCTACCAATGTAAGATGGCGAACAATCAGAGCAGTCAAGCTTGTAGACTCCACTTCTATGTGATTTGTTGATTTTGTCTTTGGAATTTACTAAAAATTTACTTAGTTATTTTAAGATTTGAAAGAAATGTTTGTGCCATGGTATTTTTTATAAATTTGGAAATAACTGTATACATACTTTATGTTGCATAGGATGAAATGAATTGAAAGAAATGACACGATCAGTCTAGATCTAGTTTGTTGTTAATTTTTGTTATAGTAACATCTAAAAAGTTTAATTCATTGTCTTTTTTTATTTCAAGTGTGAATTCAATTTTTGGATGTAAGTTATTTAAGGAGTCAAGGATATCATGTGCTGAATTAGAGTTACCATCTATGAAAACCAAGCAGTCATCAACAACAACATCAACCAGCTGAGAATCTTATCAATTTTACTGATGATGAAGGAATTTTCTGAATTTTCCATGAAAATGTCTGCTAGGAAAAGTGAAAGAGGAGATTACCCATTGCCAGGCCTTCAGTTTGACTGTAAAATTTATTATTGAAGACAAAAAAATCTTGGGAAATGTGAAAGAGGATTACCCATTTCAATTTTATTAATGATGAAGGAATTTTCTAAATTTTTCATGAAAATGTCTGCTAGGAAAGGTGAAAGAGGAGATTACCCATTGCTAGGCCTTCAAGTTGACTGTAAAATGTATTATTGAAGACAAAAAAATATTGGGAAATGTGAAAGAGGATTACCCATTTCAATTTTATTAATGATGAAGGAATTTTCTAAATTTTTCATGAAAATG